GTAGCTGGGACTATAGGCGCCCGCCACAACACCTGGCTATTTTTTTTGTTGCAGTTTGGCCGGGGCTGGGTTTGAACCCACCACCCTCAGTATATGGGACTGGCGTCCTACTCACTGTGCCACAGGCACTGCCCTGACTTTCAAATTTTTGACTGCAACCCACAGGTAAGAAAAAAGATTTAACATCATGACTAGGCCTTCCAATGTATATCTATGTTTTAAAAACTGAAACAAAGATCACAAGGCAATTTGTCCTTACTTTGTAGGATATACCTGAGTTTTCTTTTCTAATGCTGGTTTTGACCCACTAAACCGATTTTACTTCCTGCCTATGAGTCACCTTCCACAGTTTCTAAAACACTGATTTAGTCCAAACTCTTTCCCTAAGCTCCAAGGAAGGCTCCTTGTGAGAACTCCACTCATCTAAGCCACAATGAGGGTTTTAGATTTAAAAGGAATTTAGGATCACACTCTCCTCCAAAGCAGGGCAGTATGTAGGTGGTGGGAGGTAGGAGGCAGGGTCCCTTCCTGAAACATACAGGGGAATTAACTGTTCTGGGTCTCTGGGGTATTCTCACAGGGGTGACTGAAGGCCTGGGGCCCAGACACTGACTGTCTAGGGGATGGGGATGGAGGGAGACAGAGACTGAAAGAACTCAGACATCTCAGCTGGAAACCAAAAGGGAAGACTTTCCCGCCCTGCCCGGGCTGCACGCACGTGCCGTCAGAGCTGTTGCTGTTGGTGCTCCCGTCGGTGGACTCCCGGCTGCCCTGGCGCGTGACCCGACTCCGCATCTCCACAGCAATGCCCGTCTCCGTGCTCCGCCGGATGTTGCTGCGCAGCTTCTTGGTGGCCCCTTCTGCACTCCCTCGCCCCAAGCACAAAGAGGGAACAAGGTCAGATGACAGATGAGGCTTCTCCATAAGCCCTGCCGAAGGCCTCTGATGGGCACATGGCTGAGCTGACCTCAGAGCTGGACTGCAGTCTGACACCTGGCCCTGCTCAGGGCAGTGTCATGAAGCAGACCAAAACGATGGCTGGAGGCAGAGTGAGGACAGTGGCACTGGGATCTCATCCTCATCCTTGCCAGGCTCCCTGATATCCACCGTCCCACCTTATTTCTGCTCTTACCCCAAAGCTCAAGTGCTCCTCGCCCCTCTCTCTTCTGGCAAGTTTGTCTCTGGGATTCCCAGCTGACTTTCCCCTTCTCTCTGGCAGCCTCATGGACCCTCTCACACCCAGAGGCCACATCTCACCTCTCTGATATCTTCAGAGGCCCTATAAACTGCCTGTGTGAAGCCTGGACACTCTCAAACAAACTCACCTTCTCAAGGTGGGGCTGAACATGGAGAGGGATTGAGCGGAGCAGCAGAGGTCAGAAGAGAAGCTGCTCGGCTGACCCCCACTGACCCCGGCTTTGAGAGAAAGGTCTGCAGAGGAACACCTGCCTCTGTGAGGTCAGTGAGAGCCCCCACCCGCCCTGGCTCCTCTTCAGAAGCTCTCCCCCCATCTTCCAGCCCCTCCCCAGCCTTGTCGGGAACATGGGGCACTTTCTCTTTCCCTGCAGCGCGCCAGCCTGCCTGGGTTTCCATGGCAACTCCTCAGCATTGCAGTGTGGTCCCTCTAGATGCTCTCTCCTCCTGGGGGCGGAGGCTTGGGGAGGAAGAGGTTGAGGATTTACAGGGACTTCCCCAGTGAAGCTTAGCTGCCGGGTGCTCGGATAGGGGCCATACCAAAGGAGCCATTTGCTGTTGCTGGTTAGAGGCCAAGCAGATGAGGAGTGGAGCTGCCTGTGGGGACCGGGAGAGGCCAGGGGTGGGACGGGCAGCACAGACCCTGAAAGTAGGGCAGAGGGGGAAGCCGGTTACCCCAGCTGTTTTCTCTCCTATCACATCCAAAAGTGAGTCAGGGGGGCTGTTTGAGACCCCAGCCTGGGAAGAAGAGGGTTTTCTTACTGCTGCTTTGGCCTTTCTTCTAGGAAGTCCCCAGGGGGAGGGCAGACTGAGAGGGCCAGCGTCACCAGTGGATGGGATGGTTGGGGGTGAGGAGGAAGGTCTTCTCTGAAGTTTTCCCAGTTTCTGGGATACTGGAATATGCTAGCACATCCAGGAGGCAATGCGACTCCCAGTACATCTGTCCGTCTGTCTCACACACGTACACAGTCACATCAGCTCATACGTATTTCTTTCACACAGACAGGCAAAGTAGACATACACAGGTGTCAAAAATCACATCTGTGAACATGGTAATCTAATTTCTAAGATCATGTGTATGTCTGTACAACAGTCACACCGTCACAATTGGTCCTAGCAGGTCTTAGTCACATGGACACGTGACATGCTCCAGGGCACACATTCAGGCCAGGAACATGTGATCTTCACACCACGACCCCTGGAGTTCAACCCATCATGTGAACCCACAAATGGTGTGTGACCCACCACACACACAGAGGCTGGGGTAAAATGGTGGGTGTGGGGGGACTCTCCCTGTCCTTGGCTCCTAACTGCCATGTCCTGCCTAACACAGAACACAGATGGGCTGTGGGCACTGCAAGTCACTCCCCTCAGATCTCCACTCCCAACACATATCCTCAGCCAGAGCCTCACCACTTCTCAACCCCGACCATTCTCTTTTAGAGCTTCCAGAAGCTTTGACCCATTTGGGAGCAAATTTGCCTTCTTAGATGAGATAGCAAAGATATCTTAAGATAAAATTTTCCCGACCCTATGTAAGCTGCTGAGTGGGAGAGTCACTCTCACCCCCACCCCTGCCATTTCACAGATGGGGAGCTTGGAGTCCAGGCACCCAGACAGCTGGGACTTGACCCCAGGCTTACAGACTCCCAGGCTACCGTCATGCTACTTCTCACTCCCCATCCAGTCCCTCATATATTTGAGATGTGATTTAGCAGAGTAAGTTCCATGTCTACAGGGGGAAGGGAAAGGTCCTGCAGTCTCAGAGCAAATCCCTCTAATGGCTTCAAATGTGTCTAGCATCAACCCCTATTGGTCTGGGGAATAACTTTCTGTAGTCTGTCTCTCTAAAGAACAAGACCCAGTTGCTTGCAATAATTCTGAGGACCCCAGAGACTGAAAGACTCTAAGAACCATCCCATCTGTCCCACACAGGGAGGGGCAGTCAAAGCCTGCAGCAGCACTCTCCATGGCACCTTCTGGAATGTCCTGGAACTATCTCCTCACCTGACCTGGCTTCACCCGACCTGACCCAGGGCCCAGAAGGGAAGAGCTGCTGTCCCTGGTACTGAAAAGATGAGCTCTGTTTGGGCAGCGGCAGAGACAGCCCAGAATGGCTAGTGGTTAGTGGATGGACCCAGCCTAAATGCCAGGCCAGAACCCACCTGTTTCCTAGGCCCCAAAGCTCTTACCTCACCCTCATCACTGCTCCCACAATTTAGAGAATGTTAAATCTAGAAGGAAGCTGGGAACGAGCATTTTTAGCTCTATTTTATGGAACAGGAAACTGAGGCCCAGTGGGAAAGTGACTTTCCCAAGGTTCCATAGCAACTTACAGAACCAGGGCTGGCCCTCACAAGTGTCAGGGTGAGTTTTTTAAGTCTTCTCCAGGGAAACATGAGTAATAAATTAGAAGGGAGCAGGCAAGAGGCACAGGAACTAGAGAGGAAGTTGGTGCGACAGTCCAGGTTAGATAACAGGGACCCTGATACAGGGCAGAGGCTCTGAAACAAAGAAGGAAGAGCAGGGACCTAGCCAATTCAGGGTACAGATAAACTAGGAGGAAGGAGGTCCTTGGAAAGGATAAACCAGAGCCCCAAAAGCTGGGCCCAGAAGAGGATTTCCTCCGTACTTCACACAGCCCAGCTCTGCAGGGAACTGCCAGCTCCTGCGGGGAGGAAGGGATATCCTTCTAGGGTCCTTCCCAGAACACCTTTAAGGGCCAGTGCCCACGGTGAGTCCACCCTATATATCCCTTTGGCACCAGACTAGCCCACCCAGGAGGGGGCTCCAAGTTGGACACTGGCATCCTCAAGGCCTGGGAGAGAAAAATAAAAACAGGGAGAAGGAATTATAGTTGGAGAGGAGTGTGCTACAGGGAAGGGGAGGGGTGTACAGACAGAGAACTCACTCCATTCTGGCTCTCCTGTGTGACCGTGGGTAATAGTAACAGCATCGACACTTCACTGACTTTCTACTACGTGCCAGGCACGAGGCTGGTGCCTCTGCACACCCAATCTTTTTTAACCCTGGACAATTCTGCAAGGCATGTCTTATTGTCCTCACTCTGCAAACAAAGAGGCAGGCTCAGAGAGGTGAAGTCACTTGCCCGAGTCACCCAACCAGTAAATGACAGGGTGTGGCTCAAGAGAGAACTTGAGGTCATTCTCCGGGAACATGCTTTCTCTCTGGGCTTTGGATGCCTCGTCAATAAAATGAGTACATCGGACTAGAGGATCTCAAGGGACCCTTCCTGCTCTGACATTTAGCAATTAGATGATTCACAGAGACCTTCAGTTAGAGGAGCATCTGGACAATTCCCCTGGCTCCTGGCACCAGGCCTTTGGCTGTGCCGTTATGGACCGTGGAGACCAGGATCCAGAAGCCTGATCATCATTCTTCTCTTGTCAAGGTGAAAAATCTCTAGGTCTGCCCTAATCCCTACCTGCTGACTAAAGTCATGGCAGATCACCAGAATGTCTCCTCATGACTTAAGCCCCTGCTTTGGCCTTGGAAGGCTGCCCTTCCAAATCACTTTGGGCACAAAGAAGGCTTTGGTGCTGAAGCTGAACTACATGGATTACTGGGCTTAATCTCTTAGAGCCACATTTCTGGGGTCCAACACTTCCTCAATCTCCTAATCTTAATCCCTATCTCTGATCCCACCCTTGGTCCTATCCCAGCCCTCCCTGTCCGAACCCAACTCCAGGATCCCCAAGTCCCTGACTCTCTGACTCCCAGCCTAAACTGCATGTTCACAGAGGCCACACCCACCCTAGGACACTGGTGATGCCCACCCTAGGACACTGGTGACCTCTTCCCCATCTAGCCTTTCTTTGTGACAGAAATGATATCACAACTTGACTGCTGGAAAAGACCAGCCTACATGCTCCTGTTGAGGGCTTTGTAACGATCTATTTTAAGGCTTGGAGAAGTCCCCCACCCTCAGCCTCCACTGAGAGTCTTGATGAGCATTCTCCTTGGATCCCCCAGCGCCCCACCCCCTCACCACTCCATACAGCTGCCTGTTTGAAGGTTTCTAGGGAAGTTGTTACTCTGAACAAAATAAGCAGGAAGAGATTTTAAAACAAACCCAGCTGGTGTCTGGGTTGATGCCACAAAGTGAGGAGGTCTTGGTGGGGAGGGCTGGCTCCTCTGTGATGTGGGGTCTACGTGTGGCTATGTCACAGGTGGTCACCCACCCTCTGAACATAACTGGAATTCCCATGTCTGAGAACGCGTGCCACACTGATCAGGCTGTAGCCGTGAAGAAGTATGTGAATGTGGTTTTGTGAGGTACGCCTGTATACATGTGATGTGTTTGTGACCTGGGGCTGTGTGCCTGTACTCAGAGGACGGTGTTCATCTGATTTGCATGACTGGTTTTATTTGTGATCATGTACAAAGCAAATGACTGTATTGTGCTTTCCTGAAAATTATGGGTGGCTTACTTGAGCGACTGAACCCTCTATTAATATGAAGGCACAAGCCACGTATTTCTACGTTTGTCTCTCTTGTGGCTTGGTAACTCCATTTGTCTGGCTATTTGTATTTAGGAGACTCGAGATTATAGGTGAGACTGAATTTTGTGGATGTGTGAGTCTGTAAAATTCTGCTGTCATTTAGCACAGTGCCAGGAACATAAGCCTGTTTCATAAATAATTACTGACTAATGAATAAGTCTGTGTGTGGAGGCAATGGAGTGTAAAAGTTAAGAGGATGAACTGGGAAGCCCATCTGCTAGGGTTTGAATCCAGCCTCCACCATCTACGAGCTGTGTAGTTTGGGGCGACTGACTTTCCTTCTCTGTGCTTCATTCAGTACCTGCCTCAAAGATCTACACAAGGATTAGATGGGTCAATACATACTTGACCTAGAACAGCAGCTGGTCCACAGGAAATGCTATCATTGTGGGTCTGTGAGTGTGGAGTACAGACACACAAGGACAGTCCCTGGGTGGTGCCCACACCCCACCCCCAGCATCCCATGCCCTCTCACCAGGCTGAGGCAGCTGGAGTGTGCTTTTGCTCCACTGAGTCAGGCCCACGATGGCCACCATCTTGGCACCCAGGCTGCTGCGCCTCTTCTTGGCAGTGGAGGTCCCAGTCCCACCCCCAGCTGGCTGGGATCCGCAGATTTCACCGCTAATGCTGGAGCTCCGCACCACCACATTCCTGGAGGCCCCAGATGAGGCTGGACCTGGCTCCCCGTTAAACATGGTCCTGGGGGTGTCAGGACCTCAGGCAACTCTAAGGGCAGGTAGGAGACACAAGGATTTCACATCAGACCTGGGAGACTCTACCACAGATACACCATTTCCTAGCTGTGTGATCCTAGGTAAGTCATTCAGCCTGATGTTGTAAAGTTTAAATAAAACAAACAAATGCACAGGACATGCAGGAAGTTCGGCTCAATAAATAAGACTATCCTTATTTGCACAAGGCTGTGAATAACCTTGCAGGTGACCTGGTTTGGTGGTGAGGACCAAGGCTGTGGAATCAGATGGCCCAGGCTTAAATTCCAAAGGCCTCTCCACACTAGCTGTGTGACCTTGTGAACAAACGTCTTAGAGTTTCAGTGAACACATCAGCAAAACAAGAAATAAAAGCACTCACCTCATAGGACTCTGGTAAGAATTAGATTAGATAGTGCATAAAGTGCCTAGAGCAGTGTCAGACACAGAGTAAATATCCGGTAAGTACTAGTGAGTGTTATTTTCATGACATACAAGAACAGAGAGAACAAAACCGGCTAGCCTGTGCAGACTCTGGTTGGGTCCTCCCGCATGAAAGGGGTGGTAAGAAAAGTACAAAAGTCACCCTTCACTGCCCCACTGAGGGGCAGCCACTATAAAGCATTTTACCTGTTTTTATTTTATGCTTTAAAGTCTCCTTCCTATGCATTTTTTTTTTTTGGTAGAGACGGAGTCTCACTTTATCACCCTTGGTAGAGTGCCGAGGCATCACCCAGCTCACAGCAACCTCCAACTCCTGGGCTTAGGTGATTCTCTTGCCTCAGCCTCCCGAGTAGCTGGGACTACAGGCACCTGCCACAACGCCCAGCAATTTTTTTGTTGCAATTTGGCTGGGGCCACATTTGAACCTACCAACCTCAGTATATGGGGCTGGTGCCCTGCCCACTGAGCCACAGGTGCCGCTCCTTCCTATGCATTTTTAAAAATAATTGGGCCGGGCGCGGTGGCTCATGCCTGTAGTCCTAGCACTGTGGGAGGCCTAGGCAGGTGGATTGCCTGAGCTCAGAGGTTCGAGACCAGCATGAGCCAGAGTGAGCCAGAGTGAGACCCTGTCCCTACCAAAAAAAAAAAAAAAAAGCCAGGCGTTGTGGCAAGCGCCTGTAGTCCCAGCTACTTGGGAGGCAAAGGGCAAGAAAATCAGTAAAGGAAGAAAGAAAAAAAATTAAAAAAATTAAAAAACTTCAAACTAAGATGAGTGAAAGCCAGCTGAAACTGAAAGCAAAATTTTAAAAAATAATAAAAATACTTGAACTGATACTGCAAATACAATTTTATATCCTGATAGTTTTCATTTGACACATCATAAGCATTTCCCAACATCATTAACAGTTTGTATGGGTGTTTCAGTGCCACCGCAATATTGCATCACAACTGACTTAAATATCTCAGGACAGTTACTTCTGAGATCAGGCCCACGTTTCTCTTCCCCCTCTCTTTCCACTCTTTTAAATAAACACTGCAATAAATCCCTTTCTACACTGCTTTTGTCTGCTTATTTCCTTAGGGTCTATTCCTAGAAATGGAGTGACTGGGTCAGAGGGTGCAGATATTGCTGGCAGCTTCCCCAACATCCGTTCCCCCTTCTGCTTCCTGACAGCATGCAGATACCACCCACCCTTTGTTTTAGAGGCAGTTTCTTATTAGTTTAAGGCAATTCGAGAATGCTATTCACCTTGGCAACTCTTATGTGTCCAAGGATAGGAAGATTTGGATTTTATGATTATGAGAGAGGTGGGAGGCCCTCTTCCTATCTCTGTCTCTCTCTCCTTCTGCCCCTTTACCCCAAAGCCCCAACCCTAAGATGAAGCCAATGTTGCTGAAGGCAGCCTGGCACACAGACAGAAAGGCCCTCAGGCCATACCTGGCCTACCAGTTATGTGAGATAATGTATTTTCCATTGCTTAAGCAGTTTAGATCAGAGTTCTCTATTATACCCCAAATCATCCTACCTAATGCCAAAGGCATAAATGTTTTTATTGATTCTTAGAATATATTACCAAATTCCTTTACAAATGCAGACTTTCTGAGCTCAGAAGTTTGAGACCAGCCTGAGTAAGAGCAATATCCCGTCTTTATTAAAAATAGAAAAACTAGCTGGGCATTGTGGCAGGCACCTGTAATTCCAGCTATTTGGGAGGCTAAGGCAAGAGGCTCACTGGAACCCAGAAGTCTGAGGTTGCTGTGAGCTATGATAATGCCATGGCAGCCTACTCAGGGTGACAGAGTAAGACTCCGTCTTAAAAAAAAAAAAACTCAGAAATTTACACTTCCTATTAGCTGCATTCAACAAATATTTGAGCCCCTAACATTCCCAGGCCGATGTTGAGTGCAGAGGATACAGCAGTGAGCTTGTCCAACTTGGTCCTGCCCTCCCAAAGCCTCCAGTCCAGGAGGGAGAGAGACGGTAAAAAACTAATTATATAACTAAATATTTAATGATGATTATGGTAAGTTCTGGGGGAGAGAAGGACAGAGGGCTCTGAGAATCACTCTGGGGAAGGGGAGGCGGCGGGCATCAACGGCTCTGCTTTGAACAGAGGCAGGATCTGCAGCCTCCATAACTGGGCTGCCAAGTTCATCGCTGCAGTCAGTCTCTTCTGCTTGGGCAGAATTCAGGAGAGCCAGCCTCCCCAACTTGCTGTGCACCCACACCTTCCCGGCTCTGTCCTGGCCTGCAGTGCTTTTCCTGTGCCAAAACCCTGAGGCAGTCCAACTTTTCAAAAATGCATAGAAAGAGGAGGGAGAACAGAGGTGGCAGCGGATTGGCACCACTCTGGTGGATAAGGAAGACAATCCCCAGACAACTGAGCTTGGTCACCTGGTCTCCTGGTCATCATGGCTCCTGCCTGCCTGGTGAAGTGGGGCTGACAGAGGGGATGAGTCAAAGCCTTGTTCTGCCTTCTTAGTGGCTGTCTAGGCCCTTCTCACTCACCCTGTGATGTGTGCAGAGTCTCAGATTGTATTTCTCATCTCCCATCAACCTTGTAGCTAATGGAAAGTCCCCCTGGACTTTGGCCTGTGACCATCTCTTCTCTTTAGTTTCCAATTCTAGTGCCAGTTGGTGTGGGTTTTTGGGGTAACTGCACCATCTTTTGGTAGAGGATGGAAGAGCACTTATCTGAGACTGTGGCTCTGCCCACAGGGTAAGTCTTTATAGTATTTCTGTAGTTATCTCCATATTGCAGATAAGAAAACTGAGTCTCTGGCTGGGCGTGGTGGCTCACGCTTGTTATCCTAGCACCTTGGGAGGCTGAGGCGGGTGGATTGCCCTGAGCTCAGAGGTTCGAGACCAGCATGAGCCAGAGTGAGACCCCATCTCTACCAAAAATTCTGGCAGGCACCTGTAATCCTGGCTACTTGGGAGCCTGAGGCTAGAGAATCACTTAAACCCAAGGACCCAGGGGTTGGTGGAGGTTGCTGTGAGCTATGATTCCACAGTACTCTACTGAGGGTCACAAAGT